ATCTGACTGCTGTAGATGTGTCACACTTTCATAACTGATTTCATACACTAAACAAAATCTTGGGAGATTTTTTGAGAACTTTGAACTGCTTGTTTGTTATTATTTATTTGTTAGTTTATGTCACATTATGAACTTTGTCTTGTACATTTGTGTGCAGTATTTTAAATTTTAACAGAGCTGGCACCTTGGTCGCAGCATTTGATTCTGCTGCCATCAGGTTCATGTTTGGTTTATTTGAATGTGTCCCAAGGAGAGGAGGGCGTGTGAGAGTTGGGGGATATTCCAAAATGATACCAGCCTCAGTTAAAAGGGCACTTGTCTTAGATTTCACAAGCTGCTAAATTTAACGTGCTGCCTTCCCATTAAGCTGTGAGGAGTCTGTGATGTGAGCTGTTGTGTCACACAACACAACTTTATATCTCTGAAGCTGTGAAAAATCTCACATTTACAAGACAACATAAAAACACAAAACACACTTACAAGACAATAAATAAATAAATAAACAGAACACATAATATAATAAATATCAAATGAAATGACCTGTTCAATCTGAAATGATAGTCGGAATTTAGTGTGAAACTTAGATTAACCACAATTTTCAGATTGAAAAAAACTATATACAAAAATAAATAATACAAAACATTTGGATTTTCATCTAATCACAATGCCATCACACCTACGGTGTACACCATTGTGATTTCAGCAGCGTTTTAAAGACACAGAGACAAAATCTATAAGACTCAAAAACAGACGATCAAACAAACTTAAAAAAATGAAAATCAGTCTGTGAATGAGAGCTTTTTACCAAATTGTCTTAAACTGTTGTCTAGTGACTCTCTCTCTCTCTCTCTCTCTCTCTCTCTCTCTGTCTCTCAGACACACAAACACACACACACACACACAAACTTTGAGTGGGCATGGCAACGTCCACTTCAGATCAGAGACCGGACAACTGTGTGACATTATGACCTCCTCAGCAGGACAGCAGTCACATCTCTGTGATATTACTTTACACCCTGATAATGTCACTGGTACATTTACTTTTACTTTTATTTTCATGTCAACATTATGATTGTTGGAAAGTTTTAGTCTTTCTTTCTCAACTTTGAGGGATTCAACTTTTTCAAAATGTAATAAAAGTAACCTTAAGCACACTTACACTTGTCTGAATAATTAACAAAAATGTGTTTTATTAATTTCACAATTAAAGACACTAAATGACCAGAAAGTCAAAGTGTCTTAAACTGTCAAATATCTGTATGGTGTGATGATGGTGTGGTGTGACAATTACGATAATAAGTAAGTGTAAAAACAAGTAAATCGCAAACGTTAATGCTGCCAGAGCTCACTGTCTGATGATGCAGAATGAACAGAAGAGTTCAGTCTCTAAGAAGATGTTTCACTTTCACTTTTGTTGTGAACATTTCCAAATATCTTTCTTGAAAATAAACTTGCAAACTGACAGATCTTAGTTAAAATATAGGAAACATATATAGTTTTTGACCTCTAGTAGAGATTTTTCTTTGATTCTTAAGATGGACTCCATTGCTTTTTTATTGCTACCTTTTTGTTGCTGAGTTTCACCTCAGTGACCCACCCATCCTCCGCACACACACACACACACACACCACACCCCCTCAGAACATTGGTCACTTAAACCACAGCCCTGCCCACACATTGACTCCTTTATAAAGACAAACCGAGCCAAAGTAGCTGAAGTTACACAGACTGGCCCTTTAAAAACACGAGCGTTCTCCACTTCAGTTCAGGTCAACTAACTTTGACAGGAGACTTTGAGGAGAGACTTTTCTTTTCTTTTTCCCTTTTTCTTCCTTTCTTTGACGCTCTTTAGTTTGACAAATAGAAGACACTTTGTGGGGACTTTTTCAGTCATCAGAGGAACTTTTCAAGGGACTTTTCCTCCTCTTCACCCTCTTGTCGTTCTCAGAGAATCTTCTGCAGAGGGAAAGATGGATCTGTCCGACCTTCCCTTCCCTCTCTCCTCTGCTGATGACTTCTACAATGACCCCTGCTTCAGCACCAGCGACATTAACTTTTTTGACGACCTGGACGCTCGCCTGACGCACGCCAGCTTGCTAAAGTCAGAGGACCATCTTCATCACCATCACCACCATGACGTCCCCCTCACAGAGGAGGAGGATGAGCATGTGAGGGCTCCTGGGGGCCCCCACCAGGCAGGACATTGCCTGCTTTGGGCCTGCAAGGCCTGCAAGAAGAAAACAACACATGAAGACCGGAGGAAAGCGGCAACAATGCGGGAAAGGCGACGGCTCAGTAAGGTCAACAATGCCTTTGAGACCCTAAAGCGCTGCACGGCGTCCAATCCAAACCAACGGCTGCCCAAAGTGGAGATCCTGCGCAATGCAATCAGCTACATCGAATCTCTACAGGCGCTGCTGAGGGCCGGCCGAGACAACGGCTTCTACCCGCCGCTGGAACACTACAGCGGGGATTCAGACGCCTCCAGTCCTGGCTCCAGCTGCTCTGATGGCATGGTGAGTCCAAGAACAGCTGAACAGTTCATGTGCTGCCTCATGAAATGTTTGGAATGTGTTTGGGATATTTATTTTTGGCCACAGTGCCTCGACACATTTTGAATGACGGAGCTCTTTAAATCAACTTTAAAATCAGCCAGTTTCAAAAACTTAAACTTATTTATGATTATTTACTGATTTGTTCATTTCACATTTTAATGTAAACAATTGTTTGACCTTAGTCCTTTTCATTTTTGTGTGTTTTACTTGTGTTTGACAATTGGTCACTGAAGTTTAGTTCGTTGAGTGAAATTGTCTTGATTGATTTGTGTTTCCAGATGGATTTAATATCCCCGTGTTCGTCCAGGAGCGAAAACAGTGATGGCTCCTACTGCAGCCAGACAGCAGACGGTCAGTTTGAATATGACGTGTTTCTACTTTAGTTGCTCCCCTCATTTAATACAAGTAGTTTTACTAGTTTTTAATGAGACTCATAGTGTGTTTGTACTTAAATATGTCTGCTTTCTCTTTTTTTGTAACCAGCTTCTGTAATACAACCAATTTGTCCTCTAATGTCCGAAGTGTCAGCATTAATATAACAGATTAGGTTTTTAATACGACCACACTAATCTTTTAAAAAGCCCAGCTTGTTTAATATGACCTGCTTTCTGCTTTAATGTAACTAATTTATGACTTAATTCTTAAAAATAAACATACGGCCCCCTCTTTACTTAAAGTAATAACAGATTTGTCTTTTAATATGATCAATCTGTCATTTAATATAACTTGCTCTTTGTTTATTCTGACCAGTTTCACCCTTAATATGACCAGTTTTTGGTATGATTTGTCTTTAAATATGACCATTTACTCTTTTATTATGATAATTGCTTCTTTAAACAGTCTGATTTTTATTATGGCCTGGTTGATCTTGAATTTGACCAACTCCTCCTAATCTGACTAAACTATATTTTCCTGTTTCTTTCTAACAGATTCCTGCAGCGGTAAACGGTCGCTCGTTTCCAGTCTGGACTGTTTGTCCAGCATTGTAGAGCGAATAAGCACAGATCCAGCGGTGCCCCCCCCGGGCGACAGCGTGGTTCCCCGCGGCCCTGGATCGCCTCAGAGCAGCCCTGCAGGCTCCTGTCCCTCTGCTGAACCCAACAGCATCTACGAACCGCTCTGAACGTGATGGAGCCGAGGACTCGTATTCCACAAACTTATACAGACTTTTTCCTGAAGTTTCTTCAGACTGCTGCTTTGGTTTTTATCCTCCCGAACAAACTGAAGACTGTGTTCCATTAATCTCAGCAGAACGAGGACCATTTTGTTTGTAAATAAGAGCTATTTGTTCACAGTACCCTCTCACACAAACACACACACATGCACACATATACAGACACAAGGGATGGTGGGATTGTTGTGTCATAGATTTCTATATATTATTTATGAGTGAATGACATTTTAATAAAGAAATATTTATATTCTGACTTCTTCTCCTCAGTAAAATGGTTTTCATCTGTTCCAATATTTGCATCCATTATAAATATATACAAATAGATGCTTAATTCTGCTGGCATAATGAGCTCTATGTATGTTTGAGTCTTTTCCTCCTTTATTACAAACATGCAGCCAAACATTATTTATTTAAACCATCATTAACTGATAACTAGCTGTAAACACATCATTGACATTCATTAAGTCTATATGGCGATCTTGGCAAACAGTTGCTTATTTGCACAACCAGAAGACGCAAAGCAACATGATCATTCATTTGGACCTGTCCAATATGTCCAATATTCACTCACCTTTTAGCTCTGCTTTGCATATCTGTCGCTTTAGCTGCCAAATACTCCGCTGTATGTTCCCCAGCTAGTCATTAACTTCGTTTTGATGGATTTATGAGAGCTTTTCTGCTCAAAACAGCGTTGATGACATCGCTGAGACCAAAACAGCAAAGCTGCCAAACAATAAATTGCTCTTGCTGAGAGGAAGTGTGGAGTCTGATGATAATTCTCAGTGGGACTAACCTCTTTCAGGTACACATTTGATCCATTGTTATTATGAAAATACTGATTATAGCAGCTCCAAAGCATTCAAACATAAGTTGTAGTGGTGATTAAAATATTTCTTAAGATGCAAAATTTGTGTGTAAAATGTTTCTCATTTGATGTAATGGTGCAGCCACAAATTATATCTCAGTAAATTCATATAAGATCTTTTGCATCAAAGGTGGCCTAAGCCACAATACGAAGTTCTATGTAGAAGAAAAAGTATACATTTAAACTGAAAATCAGAGTATAAACAAATTTCCCCAATTATTGTATTTCCAAAAAAATTACAATGATATAATTAAAACATATTATATCGTAATATTAGGCTTATAAAACTCAGACTTTTAATGTTTTGTGTTGTAGTTGCATGAACCTATTGTTTATTCACAGCTAATCAATTAGATCGATCAAACCGATAGCTTGATAGCTACAAACTTAAACATAGGCTGCAGACTGGAGGGTTAATAATTCTTTCATTTTATTCTCTGAATCTTTTAATAACATTTGTTGGAGCTAAATTCATCCAGAAAACCATTTCACTCAAGCAGCCACAGGCGGTAAGACTGTTGCCATTTGTTGCCATTGTTCCGGAGCTGCGGGTGTCTACGGGGTCTGAGCAGCTACTGTAGCCGAGAGGACGCGCCTCGTGTCCGGGCTGACCGTCACTCAGGAGCCGCTCACTTCCTGCGGCGTGAAGCGGCTCCCTTCTTGCTGCTGCAAAGCGCAAAGTGCAAAAACAGAGTCAGATCTGTACAGTGATCCTTCATGGTGGCTTTAAGATGATTATTATGTAGACACACACACACACACACACACAGGCTATACATATACAAACTAACTACTATACAAACTTAGACATGAGAGGAACAGATTTTTCCTTTGAAGCTACATCCCCCTCTAGTGCCCAGACTAGGCCTTGTTAACCCACCCAAACGGGCTAATCTTTATTAATAACACATAGGCTATTGTATTATATCATATTTATTTATTAAAAATTAGATCATATGACTGACCAGGTAAATTTACTGAAAGTCACACCATGACAAACACTTAAATTGAATGTGGAAAAGTATAAACAAAAAATTATATTATAATGTAGCCTACTGTTGACCACAAATAAAATAAATATAAATTATGATTATCTCATATATGATTTATTAATTTATATTTTAGTTTTCATTAAATTTATTTCCAGTGTTTTGACTGATAATTCGCATCACATCACACACACACACACACACACACAAAAAGGGTGTGTAAGTTTGAATTTGAAGTTTGAGTGTTTTGTCACTTTGATGTAGTCCTATTTTCCCCCATTTAGTTGATGATGATGGGAGTTACTTACTGTTTCTGAAGCTCGTCGATGCGGTTTCTTAGAGAGATCACCTGAAAGACAAACAGCTGGGTTTGAATCAGGTAGGAATCTCACCTGCACACCTGACATCAAAGAATATGTGTCACAGCTGATAAATGTCATAGTAAAGTACTCACACATTCTACAAAAGCATGTCTTTTTGAACTCTACAGTAGTATTTGCTGTGCTAATAAAAATCCCACAGAATACTAATGAAACATTTTGCACATTTAAATAGGTGGTGTTTGAATATAAAGATATTATTCACACTGAACTTCAGATAAAAACAGACAAACCAAAAAGGAGATTGAATGTTTTGCAGCATGCACAAATATACCACGTTTCCTCACTGACCTCATATCTCTGTCTCTTGAGTGCCTCGCCGTGGTCGTATTTAATTGCCTCCAGGTTGTGCAGCCACTCCCACAGCTCCTTTGCCTTTTCCCTGACAAACACAAACCAGGAACCAAACATCCAATCAACCAACAATCCTCTAAAGCAGCTAAAAATAATATGTTGCTCCCTGCGAATGTGGCGATCAGAAAATCACCTCATTTTAACCCATAACTGCTTTTTTTTGTTGACTTTAATGTGCTAACCCCCAACTTAGCTATCGTTAGCTACATTACTTGCTGTGTTGCTGTTCACTCTATATCAAGGTATTTGTCATGATATTGAATGAATGCTACTCAATTTGCATATAAACTATAAAGAGAATTTTGTTTATACATCTGCTGGTTTTCATCACAGGGTAAATATCTGTATTTAAATGGATAAAAAGTGTATCAGTGTACCAAACATATAGGAACCATGTTAATGGGACCTTCTGAGGCTTTGTAATTTATACAAAATATATAGTGAAAAAAATGTATATTAATGGATTTTGTCCCGCTTGATATTATTCTATGCCTTATTTCTGTTTGTGGGATAATCATGTGCTATGTTTATAAACTACAGTTCCCACAATGCTTTGTAAACAGGAAGTATAATGTTGAGTTATGCTATGCACAACATTTTGAAGCCCGTTTTCTTTTTGGTCTAAATTTGTTTATATTTTGGCAAATCTAAATTAAATGGTGCAGAATAAGCTATTAGCAGTTCTTGTTTGCAATGTACCAATGGATATACAGACAAGTATGACTGGATTACTTTGATTATGAAGAAAACTGAATCTCAAGCAAGAGTTATAGGGAGCATCTTTTTTTCTGATTTCTGAGTGAGGGTATGGATGTTAATTCACATAGGTAATGATATTCTCGTAATAAATCTAAAATTGTGTGTATTATGTCTGTTTAGATTTGACCTAGTTATGACTTGGAGAAGGAGATATATGATTTTCAAACTGCGGCAATCTGACACAATGGGTTGAAGAGTTTGGTCCACACAGGGAAACATGTGTTCCAAACGTTGTTCTTAATTAATGTCATGTGGGAAACAGACTTGGGAACAAAAAAATAAATATATATCTAAAAACATAATTCAAAGTGCTAAGTAGGGTTACTGTTCTTTCTTAAAAGTACAACAACTACAAGGCGTTAAGGATGATATTGGTATACAAAAGCATCTCTGCATCACCCACAGCAAACATAAAAGCGTCAAACAGTCTGACATGTCATTTTCCAAAAGAACTGATTGGTCTGCATAAGTTACCATGTCAATGTACCCTGTTAAGAAGTGAACCACCGTAAGGACTGAAAACCCAGGATTAAACCTGAGTTAACCTGCAACATCAAATCCTGCCTTGTACTAGGCTATAGGCCGCAGATTTCAGAGACAATATGTAAATATTTTGTATATAAACAGCTAAATTTTTTTTATGAGTGACTGATTTGGCACATGTGGAGAAAACATGTCCAGGGGTGCTCATGTATAGCGAGTTTTGGGTTGTTATATGTTACGTAAAATTGATCATGCATATAAAAATTATGATTGTACCCCAAAGCACAGTGAAATGAAGGCTCTCTGTGGTGTCATTGCAGTATAATCTAGACTGTGCCTCGTCTTCTTGTTTCCTCCTGTGGGTTACCTCAGTTTGTCCTCGCTGAAATTGTCAATGTTGAGAGGTTTGCATCTTTCTGCCATAATCTTCTTCTTCTTTTCTCTTTCAGTCTGCTTCTTGCCTCTCTTATGTTCAACCTAGAAAAGTCCAACTAGTTAAAGCTCCATGTCTTCACAAACACACATGTTGCTACAAAAATCTGAATTCACACTAACAAAAAAGACAACCAAAAGAAGTGAAGTGAAAAAAGTACCCTCTGCAGGCTGCTGCTGAAGCCTGATCCCATGTTGCTCAGCGCGATCTTCTTCTTGGCATCATCCTCAGCCTTCCTGTGGGCATCAGCCTCCTCCTTTCTCTGTCGCTCAGCCTGTAAAATACATTTTTAAAGATCACGATTCCACAGCATAACAAGTGGAAAGAAAATTTTTTCCTTTTGCCTGATATGTCAATGAAAAGTGCATCTTAACAGCATCTGAAAATCCTGTTTTTGCTGACCTCCAGTAACTGAAATTATCGTCTTGATGCAGTGATGTAGAAATAAACTTTGGGTGAACACTGTACTGCTAGGTGTGATGAGATGGAAAATATACTTGAAACTCTTAACCAGGAGACATCAGTGTGACACTGCTTTTCAGTGTGGTGTTAAATTCCTCTCCACAGTCAGATTCTCTTCATGCAAATAGTAACTGATTGATATTTGTAAAGGTGAATCTATTCTGAGTTAATGTATTTTAAACAGTGCAATACTGTTGAAAAACTTAGAAGCATGAGGTTACAAGTTGAGGTGTGCTGTGAAAAAAAAACTGTGCCAATTCAGCAGAAGCTGCGTACCTCCCGCCTTGCCTGCCGCTCTTTATCTTTATCCGAACGAATCCTCTGCTGCTCGGCACGCTCAGCGCGACGCTTCTCCTGAGGATCAAAACATGCCAAGAAATTAATTCTAATGCTTTATTTTCTGGTTTATTTCCACATATCTTTGACTGTTGTGATATTTAACCCGATCCTTAAACTACAGATATATGTGTGTCAAATAGACTATATACATTTATCTGACGCTTTTATCCAAAGCGACTTACAATTGCTATACATGTCAGAGGTCGCACACCTCTGGAGCAACTAGGGGTTAAGTGTCTTGCTCAGGGACACAATGGTGGATGTCTCACAGTGGGATTCGCACCAAAGGCAAGCATCTTATCTATGCGCCATCACCACCCATAGCCAAACCAATCATATACAAGTATATGGTTGGTTTAATACTAAAAATAAACTAAATATGGTTTATTTAGATAAAATCTCACAATTCTTCCTTTGAGTGCAATGAGCTCCTCCTCTTCCTTCTTCCTGCACTCGAAATGAGCGTCGATCAGTGACTGCAGCTCCATCAAGTCTTTGTTTTGACGTTTCTTGTGGATGTCCTGTAGGAGATGTACAGGAGACCGCAGTCACTAACAAACAGGAGAGAGGTTGGCGGCTCCAAACCTACACTTAGAAAAATACCATGGCCTCGCAAAGTTAATAAGAAACACTCAGAAGAAGCAGGAGAGGATGAGTTTTTTAGCAGGTTTTTCATTCATTGTTTTTTTTTTTTTGTTGCTTTTAGTAAACATGAACAAAATAACCAGTAAGAAAATCACATAACTTGTAGTTGTCCCCGACAGCTTCTTGCAAAAGACTTTCTTTACTGGAAAATATTTGGTCTCTGGCTGCATTTATAAGTAGCGCCTTTATCCAAAGCACTTATTGGTTTACCTGTGATTAGTGGATGACCTGCTCAGTAAGCTGGCACTGCCTTCACAGACATGTGGACATGTGTATTGTAATTATACAGTATGTAGAGCACACTAACAAACCATTGGTCAAAATACAAATTTCTCATGACAACCATGACATTTGTTTAATAGGTGCCACTAATTAAATACCATCTTCCCATCTTACCTGGTCCCAGGTTCTCTCCTCCTGACTTGCTCTGGTTCTGTTACCTTAAATGTTTAACAATTCTGTTCTTTCTGTCCTTTAAGTTAAAAGCAAATTTTATTCTCCAAGGTTCATGAACTTATTCTAACGTGCAGTCACTTGAATTTGCGATGATGTGGATTTATGAGTGTGAGAACTTTATGAGAACTTTTCCAGTTCTCTATTTCATTTTATATCATGCACAAACCTGGCATTTTGTTGTTAATTGTTGTTATTCTATATTTTATTTTGTCATATATATATTAATCCTCTCCCGTTGCAATACGTCTGCACAACACAAACCCGGAATAATGCACATGTAACGTTGTTCTTTCTCTGCAAATAGTTGTATTATTTTTTAGAATCTCTTATTATTCTTATATAACTTTAGCATTTGTTTATTCCATATTATATATTTCTACATTTATTTAAGTCAACTGTATGTTAGTCTACACATGGCACCTTATTACCAAAGCAAATTCCTTGTACGTATAAAATACTAATTGGCAATAGAGCTTCTGATTCTGAAGACCATGTGAGCTCTGTGTTAGGGACACTCTGCAGATACAAAGGTAATAATTTGACTTTTCATCTTGTTTCACATGTTTTCAAAAATCTTGGATTTGGATGCACAGTTTTAAATCATTTTCTACTTTACCTTTCAATTCTCTTAAAATAAAACTAAAGGTCTTAGATAGACATACACTCCTTCACGCAACCCAAGGGGGAACTGCCGTTTACACCTCAATTTAAGCTTTTTTTTTAAAGGGCAAAGCTGTTGTGTAGGAGGATGGTATGCATTCTGACTGCACGACGGACCGCACCACAATTTGACTTGACCCCCTTGTTTAAGTGGAGTTAGCGTGGACCATTATTAGGCTGGATTTCGACTACCCGTGTGTAAGGGGCCTTGATACCACAAGAGTGCCGCTGAGATCACATATCAGTTGTATATTATCACATGTTGACTTACATCAAAGTCCACTTTCTCGCCATCAGGGATCTTTGGAGCACTGGGTCTGTTAAAGGAAATAACTTTTGAGTTATAACAATAAGTAACTTGAAGCTGGCAGTAATGCACGAAAGACAATCAATGTTCTCACTTGAACTTAGGCTTCTCCTCTGGGTTTTCAGCATCAATACACCAACATGGAGAAAGGGGAGAAATCAAACTGTTAGAAATATGACACAGCTAGGGAGAAAGACAAAGACTAAAGATCTGCTGGTTAATCAGGGGGAAGATCCATGTGGACAAGCTGAGTTACATCTGAGGGCTGCAAGTTGTTTCACACCTCCAACAGATCAAAGTCATTTGAGTGAGTCAATGTAGCAACACTTTTCATGATCAGTGGACCAATTCCTCTGTTTTTATTTTCAATTCACAGTGTTAATCTGTTGTGCGTTAGTGTATAAATCAAACCAATGTAATCTGAGACATTTGAAGTGCTAATCAGAATCAGTACGTTGTGTGCTATAAATCAAATTGTCTGAACATACTTCATTGCACACTTTTCACAACAGGGAGTTTGGAAGTTACTGTTAATTGATGCGCATGGTAAAAACACAACTATGATTTTTAACAGAAACAAATAACCAAGTTTGTGATTAGCTTTATGTTTTTTTTACGGGACCCTCACACTAAAAAAAGACAGACAACATGGGAGGAAAACGCAGGCAAAGGAATAGCGACTCAGCAGGAAATACAAACTACCATCTTGATCTCCCTCCTCCCCTGGCAGGACACATTCATGCAAAAAAGAGAAGAAGCAGAGATGAGCAATGGGGCCCGTAACCATGACTCGGCATTTCTGAATCCTTCACCCTGTTCCTCCACATCAGCTCTGACTGAAGCGAACAGATAAATTCTGCCTTTCCCTCAAGGAAGATCAGTGAAACAAGCATTTATTCATGTGTGAAAGGTGTGAAAGAGTCTTCACACCTCTGGCCTCTGGTCCAATCAGAAGAACAGAGAAGAATACAAATCAACATACCTTCTTCTTCGTAGGCGTCTGCATGCAGCAAGCGTTGAAAGCAAGAGCAGAACAGAAATCATTAGTGGTTGGACTGGGCAGGCTGATTCTGTCCTATTTACAGTGCACAGCTTATAAAGCACATTTACCAAATTGGGGTGTTCACAATTCTAATGTACAGCAGTGGCAGCCACTGCAGAAGACCCATGTCATGTCATGTATTAATGCTGCAGACAGTTCTCACTTTCCTAACAGTAGTTTTTTCCTTGTTTGATTGGTATAGTAAATCTATCATATAAGTGGTCAGCAATTGTTTCTTGCAGATTTATAGTCAGTCAACTGTTCCTTCCTGAAACTTGATATTTCTAAACCGCTACTGCTCAAGCAGCGAAATCAAAGTATTAGTTTAGCAAGCATAGAGTAAAGCCTGAGACTTCTGCAGTAACTCCATCTGCGTGAAAAGTTTGCATAGATCATGAAAGCATTTAAACAAAAAAAATTCATGGAAGACATAAATAATGAGGATGCTTGCTTTGCATTAAAACACCCCAGTGTAAATGCTTTAGAGCAGTTTGCCAGTCTCACTCTTCTTTTACACACAGATAAAGAAAGGCGCTAAACATGGACTGAAGGGAGGAAAAGAAATAGCTTTTACATGACTGAAATTACCCATCATCCTTTTTGCTTTTGCCTAGAAGATGGATTCGCCAATAGTCATTAAGAGCAAAATGAGACATACGCATGGATAGAAGGCAATGTATGAGACATGTAAAGGCAGCTGAATTTCTTTTTTTTCCCTTTCAACATTTATGTGCACATTCAAAACACACATCTGACACTGAGCAGTAATGCTGGAAACAGCTAACACTGATGAGGATGTGATGTGATATAAAACAACATTTTATAAAGTGAAGCCCAGATTTTTTTCTGCAGTGCACTCTAAAAAACAAGGGTTCATGGGGGTTTCTCGAAGAGCCCGAAAACACCAAAAGGCACTTTAGTCACTCAAGTCTAAAGTGCAACACACTAGCCTTGTCATGCCACACTGATTAGGGAAGCGAATGTGATAAAACTCCTGCTTTTCTGAAGAGTTCACACATTGGGAACAGGGCAGTATCCCTATATTGATGCAGCAGGTGTGTATGCTAAACATAGAAAACAATGGGTACAAGTGTTTAAACGTGTTATACACTGCTGGTGTGTGTTTGCCCCGCTAGTGGCCCCTAGTGGCTGCAGTGTTCATGACGCCAGAATGAATAAACAAGTTGATGATTTTCCTTCAGTAGTGGTGCTACAGGAAAGGCTCGGGATTCAAAATCAAAATAGTTTATCATGTTGGAAGCATGGATGTGAGCAACAAATAACTCATGGCTACATGCAGACTAGATAAAGACATATGTGTATAGTAAAAATATTGGGTGGCACTCGAAGAAAGGTCATGTAGTGTTTAAAATGGAAAGGCCTCAACCTCTGGGGAGCCTGAATGTGCTCAGTAAATTTTAATGGCAACTTGGCAACAATGTTTTGGTGGCTTGATGGTCTATGGTGTAGAAAAGGCCAGGGAGCACCAAAAATATCGTAATTTGTTTTCTGGGCACCATGAATATCTATAGAAAATCTTGTGGAATAATTATTTTAAACGTATCTCGCTATGGATCAAAGTGTTTCTCGAGGAGAAACTTTGACAAGAATGTGGCTCAAAGTTCAGCAAATCATGAGGAATTATCCACTGACCATGAATGTGTAGGACAGATGGATGGACAGACAGACCATCTGACATCACCATTCGTAGGTCATATTGCTAAATGATTTTGTAATTACTGTTAAGGTTCATGAGACCTCAGTGTCAGGCTTTACTAAGAAAACTTTGTGTTTGGTATCTAAAGAACACCTTAAGTTTTCTTTAATCCCTCATTTTTTAGAGTGTATTTTTCTGATGGACGAATACATGATTATGGAAAAAGCCAGTTTGTAGGACTGGAGCATTAACTCTCATCGCCATGCTTTCCCGGGTCATGATGTCAGATACGCTATTCCTCTCTTTGCAGTAAGGCCATGATTACCTGCTCAAACACAAGCCCCAGCAGTGAGTGTAACTAACTTTTCAGACTGACAGTGACCTGGAATTAATCGCGTCTGAGGTTTGTCTAACTTTGCAGCCTTCTAACCTTATTTTAACATGGGTATGCTTGAACATGGGTTTTTCAGGTAATTATATGATTACTATACAGTTACCTGAATGTTGAAAGAAGTACGCTATCCTTTACTTAAGTATAAGTTTAAACACCGTAGTCTAGAAAAGCATTCAAAATGTTATTATCAGCTAAATTTACTTAAACTGTTAAAAGTAAAAGCAGTCATTATGCAGTGAGTATTAAGTGTTTTAATATTATAGAATATTACATTCTGCTTTTATCTTTAACAAATACAATTTTAGATACTTGGTATACTACTGGGTAGATTAGAAGTATGCTATGTAACTACTATACTATTAAGTAACTAGTAACTATACGTGTAAAATAAATGGAGCGGAGTAAAAAGTACAAAATATACTTCTGAAAAGTAGTAGAGAAGAAGTATAAATTAGTATAAAATGGAAATAAAAGTATGTCAAAATTGTACTTAAGTACAGTACTATAGTGAATGTAGTTAGTTACATTCCACCACTGGGGTTAATGTAACTCTGAACCTTTAAGTTGGTTAAATCAGATGGATTGTATGTTTATGTATGTTTAGGAAAACCCAACAAGGTCAAACCGCTCCAAAATTTGGAGATGTGCAGCTGCTATCTAGCATGCCGCAACTAAATTTAGCTAAACAGCATGGGGTTTACAGAGAATTAATACTATAAGTTCCTGCTGGGAATGCATCCAGACAAATTCTTAACTCACGCTGCAGATTCACAATTTTTGTGAGCAGTAATGAAGAGGAGGTAACTCCAGTGGAAAGGGCTCATGGGGAACTAGATTAGTGAACTGCAGAAATATCAAACCCAACAAGACAATTGACCCTTGAGTCTTCAAATGTTCTAGGAAAAAGATCTACCAGCAGTGTGTGATATAGCAGTGTGTGGTATAATGTCTACTATCTACAGAGCACTCCACCAGAGAACAGATAACATGACTCTAAACTGGACATGAGAAAATATCTCTACACACTGGCAGATTTCTCTCACTGCATAAAAATATACTAAATATTAGGAGTTCCTCCCCAAAAGAAAAGCAACATATTTTAGTAATATAAAAAAATATGCATATATTAATAGGTATTTATTGGGGGGAAAAAAGAATCCATCTCAGATAAGAGCTGATAAGATCAGATTAGAATACCTTTGCTGATTTAAATGCAATCTTTCAATATACAATTTTTACTTAGGAACCTTTTGCTCATATTTACAAAGTCACAAAATGCCAAAATACTTTTATCACCTATGTGATTCAAATCATTTTGCTAGCTAAACATGCTTTACTGTAGTAGCAATGGCATTGTAAGAAAGCATTGCCAAATATTATAATTTCAGCAGGTTTTCAGTCGACACTGTTAGAATCTAATAATCAGCAATTCTTTATTGTCAGTTTTCTGTTGATTTTAAATTTCTGATGTGTGTAATTTTTAAACACCAGCTGTGTTTTGATTGCAGAAAAGACCCCCCCCCCAGCAACTTCATTAATTTCTGCATAAATTACTAATTACTGAGTTTAAAATACCGCCATAGAACCGTATTCCTCCCAAAAGTAGGGTTTGCAGCTACTGTTGAACCAAGAAGTGATGACTGAAGACATGACTGGGCACTTATTTAAATCTACATATTAAGATATTTTTTACAGACTGTAGTTGGAATTCTGAGGAAGTGCCTAACATAAAGAATGCATTGCTGAACATTTATATCATAAATGCGTCTGCTAAACGTAATTGTTGTCTTCTGTTACCTTTACTGACTGAATTGGAAGAGGCGGGTTGTTTTCTTGAAACGATTCTAATCTTGAGCTTGAACATTCATTTCTGAATCTTGGAAATTGTATTTTGATAAAAAAAAAACAAAGCTTATCTTTTATAAAATATCTTTTAAAAGGTAAAAATTGAATTAACACGAGAGGAGTGTAAAAGATGAGCAAAAACTAAAATAATGCCTGCTTGTCGTTTAAGACTCAACGCTTTGACTTGTCAGGCAGGATATGTTTTGCAGCGTGTTGATGTTGACTGGACTGGCTATCCTACAGAGCAGAGTGCTAAATGTCCTACAGGAGAAGGGTGAACAGACTGCCCATGCCACGTACCTTCCTCCTCATGAACCACCTGCTGCACCACCTCCTGTGGCTCTGGCTCTGGTTCTGGTTCAGGCTCTACCTCTGGCTCTGCTTCTACCTGGGCCTCCGCCTCAGGGGCTACTTCTACTTCTACTACCTCCTCCTGGGCTACGGGCACGCAGCATGCACCAAACCGCCGGGAAGAGGGAGGGTGTCGGAGAAGGCCGTTAATGAAGACCACAGACATGACAGAGCCATTAGAAACCAATAGTGAGAGATTACTTTAGTTACAGAGAGGACGGATGGGTGAGCGATGGACAGAGCTGCTGGAGAGAGAGAAACACAGGATGATGAGAGAAAGTCAGTTGACCTTTCACACAGAAGCCGTATTTAACTGTTGAGGTGGAAAATTACCTGAAGAACAGCTGGTTTTGTGCTGATCGTTCACATATTTAATAAATTCAGTTTGAAAACCTTTTTAGAACAACTGCCCTTATGAGGACCATGGAGGCTAATGTTTTTTATTTCTCCTATTATCTCCAGATTATCAAAATCAAATGCTTTATGTAAACTTTGTTATTCTAATCATATTGTCATCTATCACTTACTAAACTTAAATTACAGGGTAAAAAAAACATGCAGAGGCACATTTCCAGAAATTCTGCAACACAAATTCCAGTGAGAAAAAAAAAGCGATTATACTATATATATATATATAATAACATATCAATATTAGCAGGACTACAGTTGTTTAGGGACACCGTGTCATAAAAGTAAATCAGAAAACTTGATTAATCAAATGGCAAAATGTTTTATATTTTAATAACTGTGAAAATATAAAGAATATTGACACAAGCCTTAAATGTTAGCATTGTATTACAAATATATTACATTTGTCCCTCAGAGAGCCAAAGAGAAACAGAAGCGTAAAAAACACATTTAAATTGACGTTGATGTTAATACTTACTCAAATTACTGGAAACCTAGGCTTGGATTTAACTTCATTCAAATGTAGCCTATGTTGTGTGGTGCGGTCAGTACATCTAGATAATAGTGGATGATAATATTGTCGTTTATCTGTTTTTAGCATTTAACTAAATTAATCTTTTCCAAAAAAATTAGAAAGATTACATTAGAAGATATCATCTATGGATATTATGATATAGGCGAAAACGATTACAGTAACATAGGTAAACATGAGGTGTATACAATGACTGTACTGTTATTAACATTTTAAAATCAAATTCATATATTTAATATATGTATTGTGATGTTACTGTTTTCTCTGAGTTTGCTGCCAGTTTGATTTTTCCAGGTATTTTTCCACCTCCACTGTTGAAAATATGGCCGTTGTGTGAATGAGGTCAATGACAGTTGCACTGATGTGACATTAACAGACAACAGTGTAAACATGTCACATGTCAAGAAAATAAATGTAGAGCCTGGAAGCTCAATTGCATTTTTTTCTCAACCATGTGACTCAAAACATCACTCAGTCAGAAAAAGTCACCCTTAAATTGAAAGTGTTTGACTGACAGCTGTTAGTTAGCTTTCTACCTGCCAGAAAATAAACATCCTACGCCTCTTTTTTTGTACAGACAATTAAATATTTTACATGAAATGATCATCAAAATCTCTATCTTCATGAAAATAAGGAATTAAATGATACTCCTCACCTATTAAACTAAAACAAGGCTTCACATTTCTACTTTGGAAAAAGGAAATTCTGAGACGACGCAAATAAAATCAGATGTTAGTATAACTTGTATAAAGTGCAGGTGTCACTGTCAAACACTTCTAAATAAGGGTGAAATCAGGCAGCTGATAAATTAGTACAGTAGAGAAAGGTCTGGAAAATCGTATCGAATCAGTCGTCTTTACCTTCTTCGTCTTCGATTTTGGAAAAATAAGGCAAATAAGGTGGGACAAAAGAAACAAATATAACATGGTGTCATTTCAATTTACATTTTAACTTTACATAAATGTTTTACTTATACAGTACATTTACAATATGTGGTTTCAAATGCATATAAAATATATGGTCAAACAATAACTTAGCGTATATTTGCAGGGCAATTGAGAGATATTCCAGTATATTTTGAGACATCTTATCATAATCTCATGACAGAAGTCAGTAACAGTAAAGTCAGTAAATAAAAAAAAACATTGTTCATTTTGTTTTATTAATACAATTAATAAAGGTGTGAGTCATATAACTTGTTTATTTTGTTTCTTATGTATAACTTACATAAGAAACAAAACAACCTAAGTGGTTGTCACTTACCCTCGACCTGATCCCTGAAATAAAAAAGAGAAGACGTTCAAAAATCAAACATGAAATCCAAGTTAGCATCTACATCACTTTGTTTTGATAAAGTTAAAACTGTTTTTTTCAGACTGCAGTGTGTGTGTTTTTATTGACAGTGTGGGATTCACTCACAGTTCCTCAGTGTCAGACATGGTGACAGCAGACTTCACGCCTGAGGGAAAAGACAAAGAGCCTGATGAGTTGTCAGGGTTGAAACAGCAGCAGAGACACTGCGCTGATATGAAAAGGTAAAAGGTTAAGAGTTTGATCCCCACCGAGACATTTGTCCCTCTCTTTAGTCACTTTCTAGCTAGCTCGACCATCACTGCTCTCCCTCTCTCTCTCCTCCTTGTTGAGGCGGGGAGGAGGGGACAACTTTGAATTGTGTGTGTGTCACGGGTTTGGGTTGGTTAAGTGTGTTTTGTGTTTGTTTCTGTTCATTCCCCGATAGACAGACAACCACTTAAATACACTGGTGAGTGAGACACTAATTACACACAGGTGAAACCACTAGGACAGTCAAGGACAGGCAGGAAGTAAAACAAGACAAGAGACACTAGGGCAGAATAACTACAAACTAAAACAGGAAGTAAAGCCAATTGAAACACACAAGGAGCTATGTCACAAAATGAAACATAACACAGACTTTTTGAAAAAAAACCCTACAGAAGTAAAGAACACAGAAACAAGACTGAAAAATACTAATGAATTCATAAGTAAACCTTACTAATAAATGACCAAAGTAACATATACTACAGAGAAAAGCAAACACAAGGGCAGGGAAGGAATGGAAACAAACACAAAACACACCAAACCAAACCCGTGACAGTGTTTTTACAAACTGCAATTGACAAATACACATTATGCCTTTATGTATTTCCTTTTTATTGTATTTTATTTATACTTCTACTCCACTATATTTATCTTTCAGCAATAGTTACTATTACTATTAGCTCCTTTACTGATATATACTTTATATTATAAATATAACACAGAATGGAGCCATTTTGCATTACTTTTGATGCTCAAAGTACATTTTTCAGTGTTGTTCAGTGTTGTTTTCTCGTTTTAAATGTAGTATTTTTTCATTGTGGTATTGCTCCTCTTGCTTAAGTAAAGGATCTCAGTACTTCTTGCACCTCTGGGCTCCAGCCACTTACAGTATAAGGTCACAGAGTTGCATTATTTTCATACTTGACACAAACACCTTGTCCAGAACCGTTTACTCAGCTGGTTGGGAGGTGTTATGTTCTTTGCAGGTTTGTTTTCACTCATGAGAATCCAATCCAAGTCCACTGAACACCACACATCATCACCACTTATGTCATAGGTGCCATTTTTGACTAAAAGAATATTTAATGCTTATTTCCCATTGATTTGGTGCTGTTACTTTAAACTTTTGTTTCAATTAGAAATTTGGTATTAGGGTCAGTTTACCCAAATAGCCAAAGTTTTTTCCTCCCTCACTGTACCTCTATTGGAATCTTGCCATGCAGGTTGTTTCAGATTCATTTGCCGAAAAATATCTGTCTCTTTTTTGCTTGTTCAAGTCAACAGCAACTTCTACCCTTTTTGACTTCACTTTTTGAGTTCAACTTCGGCGCCACAAAAGGTATTGTTTACAGAAAGTACTTTTTATGTTCCATTTTGGAAAATCTTAAGCGCACCATCCTGAGCATAAATTTCACATTCAAAGATACTCAAATAAATGGCTGAGGGTAAATATGATGCAGTGTATAGTAAGTAGAGAATGATTTTGGACACAGCGCCAGAGTCTTTTTTAAAGGCATTTTAAAGGCTGTGCGCTCCTCAAATGAAATTCTATTCATCTCAGCACATAGATCAATTAAACCAAAAATGGTTGTATGATTAGATACCACCAGAGGTAAGAAAAAATATGCTGTTCTGTTTTTTTGTAATTTGGGAGAACAAACTCGTAAATGTGACACGGTCAAACTATTACACTATTCAACTGCAGGCACACTGTATAGAGCAAATGTAATAAACTATGACTGCTTTCCTGGATTCCACAACAGCTTTCACTGCTCATAAAAAATGCCAATTTCCAGTCCTATATATATAGGAAATACCCCACTAATCAGGCCAAGAGTAAAAATGTTCCTACAGGCCTCCCTGTGAAAGTCAGCTGGAGTCCCAACATCATTTCAGGCCCAAGGGAGGCGAGGAGCAGCTCTGTTGAAGCAATTGTTGGAGGATGTCAGCTAACTAAATATTCTAAATACAACAATATCATATTTGATATATAAAAAGTATCTTTGGATGACTCCTTCACACTTAGCAGTGGACACAGCTGCAGAGGACTCGGGGGATTAGTTCTGGATCATATTTCTACCCATCAGCTGAGGAACGGTGTCCAAATAGCTGCTTTAATCCCTCGGCTTGGTCCAGCGGGAGGATCCTCTGCACTCAAACAGCCAATCAGCATCCTCCAATAACAAACGAGCTCTTTGATCGACTTACAGCTGTCAGTGGCCTCACCTCTGTGTGTCCAGCATTCACTCAGTATATATCGACACTTCAACACTCCTTATATTTAGTGGATGGCCACTTCATTTCTTCGGTATGAGAACAAACCGAATGCTGAGAAGTGTTTCTGAGTCTTGATGAAACAGATGAGACTGCAGAGGAAACTCCTGATCCTGAGCCAATCAAGATTTAGATTGAAATGGCAGTATGAGATGCATTCATGGACCAATACATCAGTTTGACCCAGAGATAAAGAGAAAGTGATGGCTAGATGAAGGATGTGTATTTTGCTTCTGACAGAAAACAGACCTTACTTGTCATCACTATCTCAAAACCTCATATCTCTAAAATGTCGGCCTGGTTATAGGTCGTTTATAGTGGCTATGTGAGTGCAATTTCAACATAATGACAAGAGGTTACATGAGGAGAATGTTTCCTCAATTTGCTCAAATAAAAACCTGAACCGTGATGCGAAATCTCTAAAGTCTGTGAACACGTGTCTCATGTGCAGATATTCACACACATTTATGCCAATTGTCAACCCAAACAGAGTAATAAATATAACAAAAGTAATTTGGAAAACAAATTTAAGTACACTCTGTGTGTTTTCAAGGTTTGGCGTTCAGAATCATCAGCATGTGTTTTTAGACATGCGGCTGCAGAGAAACGCTACTAGTAGTCGGGATTTTGGTGGAGTGTGAGTGTGTATGTCAACTGCCTATATGCAAGCCTCTCCAAACTTCCAGCACCGTATCTCCAGGAGTTATCTTCAAGTTAGACAATTCAGTAGGTCACAGTTTACATATAATGCTAAACTTCACTGCCAATGTGTAAAAATGAAATACATTCATCTGTTTCCTTCCAGAGCTCTTAAGTTTTACTCCATCATTTGAAATGATGATTTATGTCCTTAAGAGGAACCCAAACATAAATTCAAGTTGTTATTTTGATTTAAGCGCAGTGATTAAATTACATAAAATGACATTTTTATTAACTTGTTAAATCAACGTGGTCTCAGGAAACTGGACTCCTGCTCCAGAGCCAGATTGTTAACTATCCCAAACATAAACTACACACATTTGACATGCAGCAGAACATGTCTAGGTCTATTTCAAACATCCCTCCTGAGGTTACAGCCTGCAGTGCCAGAGGACGGACGATCATCTGTGTTTTTTCTCTGTCATACAACACCTGAGGCAACCTGCTGCACATGATTACAAACAAAATCTATAACCAGCAGATTTTGGCTTAAAAGGAGAAACAAATAGAAACATTTACATTAAGTTTAGTAGTGATGAGTGATTTCAGAGCCACTGCCTGTCGGTTTCAGTCTTACCTCAGAGAGGAAGAGAAGGTCCTCCGACGATGAAGATCGAGGTCTGTAAGAATCTTCAGCCTCCGCTCAGAGAATAAGTCCTTGTGTTATATTGATACTTGAGCTCATCAGGCCCTTATTGGCTGTGGGATGAGAGTGAGGTGTGTGTGTAGTATATGTATGTTTATGTGTGGAAAAGGTGGGGAGAGGAGGGGGCGGGCAGTCATGACCCTGGAGAAGGAGATGGATGAAATACTATGGATGGAAGAGGAGGGCTCAGGTTTTGGAAAGGAGCAGCTGAGAAGCTTCTGTTGCTAAATTTACAGTGATAGAAGGCTGAGAGGGGGCGGTTACACATCAGCCTGGCATCCAGACAATGGAGGGAAAGTGTGTGTGTGTTTGTGTGCGCACCAGACACTTCATCAACCAGTCAATCAGTCAGACACTCAATCAGTAGTAACAGAAGAATAGAATAATAATAGAACTGGAAAGCTAAAATGCGAATTGTGGAGCAATATAAATAGAATATAATGTGTTTATGACCTTTTATTCCTCAGAGAAAGCTTTACTAGCTTGTGAATTGTAGGTTCATAGCTCACAAGCCTGTTTATGTTTGTAAAAACAAAAAACAAACAATCAGACTTAGTCTGCCTGGTTCGCACTTTTAGGTTTCCTGTAGTAGTTTTCTGTTTCTGTTCATCCAACCCAATGGCTCTAAAATTCAGTCTGGTAGGTTAAGTGGTCCCTGCAGAACTAATTCACCCCATGAGAACTGCTGCAGGGAGGATTTTACTTCACTTCAGCAGAAGGCTTTGCTGCAAGATTGACAAATGTTAACCTTTAAATGACAAAGCCCTCTGGTGGCTGTAGGAATTATTACTAATTATGATTTTTATTTTACACCTTTTACAGACAAAACTTTGAAATCTAAAATATGATGTTTTGTTGTAAATTAAACTACCCAATAGTTTATACAAGTACAGCTGAAACAATTAGTTGATTAATCAGTTAGGTTGCTGCTTTTCCTTTACATAATTCTAATTTATTGCTAATAATGTTGAGGTTTGGACTGTTGGTTGGACACAACAGGCATTGTGAAAGTGTCACTTTGGGCTAATGTGACGGTATTTCTCACTATTTTCAGAATCTTTACAAAACAAAACAATCAATCAATTTAATAGAGAAAATAATCAGCAGATTAATCCATAATAAAAATAAATTAGTTGCAGTCCGATACAAAATAGTTCAAAATGAGCTCCACCTCAACAACTACAGCAGTAAAATCCTGCTTTTACATTAATGCATGAAGAATAATAATCTGATGATACAATAGATAATAGTATAACAGTCACAAAGGACATTTTACTGCTTTGAGTACTTTTACTGAGTACATTTTCCTGATTATACTAACATAATTTAACTTAAATAACATTTTCAATTCAAGACTTTTACTTTTAACGGAGCACTTTACAGTGTGGCATGAGTGCTAATAAGTAAAGTATCTAAATACTTCCTTCAACACCACATCCAACCCCGTCTCCTAGAAATTAGGTAAGTACTATAGTGTTTGGCAACAGCAAATACTTTGTGTGAGTAACATAATTCAATCTGACTTGTGTTTTTGAAGAAAATGTTTGTAATAAACATACCTGCAGAGTTGCAAAATGCTTATACTGAACAAAATTGCAAAATGTTAAATGACAGTGTATTTCTTTTTCCCCCTAAAATATCCACTCAAGAAATATAATATCTGCTCATAGCAAAAAAGTATGATTCATTCTTATGGTTATGGTTATGTTTACACACTCATAGCACTTGGTAAATGTTAAGGGAAGATGGTGGTCCTGGTTTAATATTGAAAAACTCAACATTGTCTTGAAGCATGAGACAGGACATTTAACCAAAACCATAGTGTTTCTGTTGCCTAAAACTACTAATATGTCTCTGGTGTCTCTGGGATTGACCATTCATAGTAAGTGGTAAAATTTGGCTGGAAAGGCTTTGCTCTTTGAGGGCGCTCTTAATGAATCCAAGAGAGCTAATCCCCATCAATAGACATAAACATTAGATACATCAGTAGTGTGATGGTGGGAAGTGTCAGGTCATTATAGCCAAGCTGTTAAGTGAAATAGAAAATCTCCATTCGGAAATTGGTTAAACAGCCAACTATCCGGAGTTGAGTTCTCATCCCTATCTGCAACTATCAGACGGTCCTGTTCATATTAAGACCAAACCAGAGGTAAAGGACTGTGAATATTGCACTTAAATAACTTAACTTCAATAACTTAAACTCAAAACTGTGGAGATGACCGTGGACTTCAGGAGGAGCCCCCCACTCTGCCCCCCATCACCATAATCAACAGCCCTGTGTCTGCTGTGGAATCCTTCAGGTTTCTGGGATCCACTATATCCCAGGACCTGAAGTAGGAGCCCAACACTGACACCATCATCAAGAAGGCCCACCAGAGGATGTACTTCCTGCGTCAGCTCAGGAAGCTCAACCTGCCCAAGGAGCTGCTGATCCAGTTCTACACAGCCATCATCCAGTCTGTCCTCTGCACCTCCATCACTATCTGGTTTGGATCTTCCACCAAAAAGGACAGGAGCAGACTAAAACGGACAGTCAGGACTGCAGAAAAAATAATCGGTGCCAACCTGCCCTCCATTCAGGACTTATACATTTCCAGAGTCAGGAAACGGGCAGGAAACATCACTGCAGATCCATCTCACCCCGGACACAACCTGTTCCAGCTCCTCCCCTCTGGTAGGCGCTACAGAGCACTGTACGCCAAAACCAACAGACTCAGGAACAGTTTCTTCCCACAAGCCATCACTCTGATGAACAGCTGATTTCTGACTCACAGTGTCAGGAACAATTCATGTGCAATAACCCAGTAACTCTGTCTCTAATCAGCACCTGTTCACTGGTTTCCACCTATTATTTATTTATTCACCATTCTATTTCAGTGCTGTTCATACTATGTTCATACTATGTCATATTGTATATACTGTATACCAATACACCTACCTCAGGTCATAAGGTCATAGGTCTTATTTATTTTTTCCAGCATCCTTTGCACTATGTTCCATCACACTGTGTACATGTGTACATTTATGTGTACCTGTATATCATATCCACCTTCAACATGTACATAATGAGAATAGTTTACTCTTGCATCCTTTGCACTCTGATCACTGCATTATTTGTCAATATGTCTATATTGTTTTGTTCATAGTGTGTATATTAGTGTTGTCTACTCTGTAGTTTGTGTCTGATTTTATTGTATAAGTAAGCACATCGTGAGCAATGTACAATCCTGAGTCAAATTCCTTGTATGTGTACACATACCTGGCAATAAAACTGATTCTGAAATTCACCAGGTGGCCAAAAACACGATCCCTAATGAATGCTAATGTTGCTAATTGTTTGCTAACACGATGTAACCTACAACTACTTTGTAAGCTGGTGGCAGGGTAGTGTTTGTTTCTCTATAAGCTTATTTTAGCTAGTGGCAAAAATCAATCCATGGGGCATTTAAGATACTGTTCACCAACAGCTAGGGAACCTGCCAACAGTTTAGTGGAAGGGCCTCAAATGGGATCTGGTGCCAACCCAGATCCCTCCCTCAAAGTGCATAAATTCATCCCTGCTCACTTACTGGAGTGCTGCTGCTGACTGCTGCACAATACTGTCATCGGTGGTCGGAGGCTTTAGTGCAACAACACTGATTGTCAGTGATCATCACTGCTTTTTGCTTTTGCACCAGCAATAGAGATAGCAAATACAATGTTGAGTTTTATAGTTTCATTCAAATACAGATGACAGAATATACAAAAGCTACAGATATACATACAATTGAAATGCTGCCTGTCTCCTGCCAATGCAAGCAGAACAGTGCAAATCAGGGAGTATGATAAATCTAGTAGTAACACATGTTCTAGGAATAAAAAGACATTTGCAAATCATTCTTTCTGTAGGTATGCCAGTATAGTAGAGTATTTATGTAGACCAGGAATCCAAAATATGGTCAAAATAAAGTGAATCAAACCTGAGAGAAATCCTGCTTAATGTTTTTGTAGAATCCTTAAAGACTCCTCTTTTTGTAAACTGATATCACTGTTTTTGAAGGCCTGAACAAGTTGAGAGGCTGAATGATTATTTATAGGTAAGGATGTAATGGTAAACAACAATTTAATAAGGGCCGGGTTAAAAAACAGTAAACCCACCCTTGTTGATGTCACATAAAGGATCATATCCTGCTCACAAACCCGTGGTCTGCTGAGCTGACAAGAACAACCACCTAACCTCAGGTGGAGGTGTCTGCTGACCGCCTGCAGGGGCTGCACCTCAGCCATCTCAGGTGGCCTGGGAAACCCCCATCTGCCCCTGCAGCACACACTGAAAGCAACAGTTATATTTTTGGAGTGGCCACGGGCACTGTGGCTCGCTCCCTAAGGCTTCAGTTCACTTCAGGATGAGTCGGCCATGTGGCACTCTGAGCCGGGATTAACAAGCAGAGAGCAGTTTGTCCCGACAGCCGCTCGCCAAAGGTAAACCAGTCAAACTCAGTGTCTGTTGATTGACAAGCTGGTGGTACCGCAGCGTGGTCCTGACCTGTTAGCCAGGTGCTAACCTGCAGACGGTGCTTAGGATTTGATAGAATCACATGCACGATCTTAAATGCATGATGCATATCAGACATCCATGAGAGGAAGAGCTTGCAGTGCAGTTTTTACTATGTTGTATGTTTCTGCACAATTTTGTGCCATGATAGATAAATATAAGCATGAGTCAGCAAACTCACACAGCAAAATCTGCACACCTCCACATTGATTATACTTTGATTCTTTTCTTGGACTTTATCTCCACCTTTAATTGTAAATGGTAAATGAATGAATTGTCTCTGTCTCCCTTCTTACACTGAAGTATTGTTTACTTTGCAGCCTCTCCAGTAAAACACTAGCAACACCTATTTCCACTTCAGGTAAGTGTTGCTCAGATTTATAATGTGGCAACCTGATAATTAAAGAAGAGCTTTCCCTCCAGTTTGTTCAATAGAGCACTTTAAAGCATGATAGATTGAGGTCATGGTACAGTTTTATCGCAAAGCTAATCTTATACTTTCCCCTTTTGAGCTGCTCCAATGGAAGCCTCTCAGATATCCAACCCCAGAACCTTAAAAGGGGGACTTCTCATGTATCAGCAGGCCTCCTTGTCACTGTGAGTGCCGGAGTCACTTTGACAACAGAGATTCATGTTAACTCATTTGCTCAAAAGCAGCCAAACATCCCAGTGTTTATATTTCAAGAAATGGACAACAGGTATTTCTATGCTGCAGCTTCTATACTTGAAACGTTCAAGTCAGAGGTAGTTAAACTTGCAGAAAATATCCAATTGGGTATATTTATCTAGCTTCTCTCAGACCAAACTGGTGGTAACATGACTGTTACGACCCCTGACATTAATGAAAATTTAAGATAATCATTGGTCTGAAACACAAGGCTAATCTCACAGTCAGAGCAGCTCTGAGAGGATTTGGGCCTCGGATTGATTTCCAGTAGACTGAGGCTGTTTGTGTGAGTGCAGGACAGCAGGCAGCAGGTGCTTGGCGTCAGGATGTTTGCTCTTATTTCCCTTCGTCTAAAATTAGGCGGTGGACCTTTTCTAGTGTCACCCAAAGATACTCCAGTATTCACACAGAAAGGAAACAATTCAACTCATGTTGCCCCTCGAGCCAACCAAGTAACATTATATCATACAGTAAACAAAACTATCATAAAATGTTAGAATAATTTGAATTTTAATTATCTTTTGAGATATTCTGTAAGCTTCCATACAATATGTGGGTCAAAATTCAACCGTCTTTACAGTTTCCCACATTTGCTGTCTTCAAGCATCTTTGTCTTATATAATCTGGGTGCAGAGGAATGTATAGACCTTCCTCTTATCGCTTGGTTGTGATGACAATGACAAAGGAATTAGGGACCCAATTTACTGCTATGTTATGTTATGAACATTAGCTAAATGCTTCCACTCCCTTCTCCCTGCGTGAACCTGCTCCACCTCCTGTATGTGTCAATCACCTTTGGGTTTACTTTTATTTCCTGCAGAGGTCGTTTTTAAATCCGACAGTCTCCTTGAGAGACTATTTTCATAAGTAGTTTGTCATCATTTCAAAGTAGCCTTGCCATAAGCAACAGCTTTACATGCCTTTCTATTTCCAATAGTGACGTTTCTTGTAGCCATGCAGCATCTTCAGGACCCAATTAAAAGTTTTAAAACCTGCTAATGAGCCTGTTGTCATAAGAGCTCATAGTTTTCTAAAGCCAGCTGCAGACGTGTCTCAGAGCCATTAGCATGTGTTAAATCAGTGCAGTGGGTAAGCAGCTGAATACACTATACTGGGAACAGGGTAGAAGACCACCTGCACAGTAAATGACAAGGGAAGGCGAACTTAAACAGCTAATGTACTGAGGAATCCAACACCGGTGTAATTGAAGTTATTTTATTGTCTAAAAAGATTTACTACTGCTGAAATACCTTGAGATTATTATTTGCAGGATAAAAGGAAATACTTGTCCAGTATAAACAGGAAAAAGACTCAATGTTTGCATCACTGCCTTTTGTAAAATGTCCCGGGAATGTTATCATTACAAAAGAATTTAAATACATTTCCAACCTAAAGCTTGAAATACAAAGAATGGTGAAGCAATAGTGGCTAAAATTTGTGTATCAAAGTATAAAAGATTTATTTCGCAATTCAGACGTCCAGCCTGCGTTTCACAAATCTTCATAGAACTGTCCAGCTGAAAAGGAAGAAAAACAATGTATTATCAGCATGTATACACAGATAATGACCTAAATCAAATATTAATTATGTATATAATTAACAAAAAATAAATAAATTTGCCGAACTGTTAAACATTTACCTTCCGGGTCTATTCTGTATTTGAACAAAACTCCTCAACGTTTCAAATTGCTTACTGATTGAGAATAGAGACCCACTGCAGTTTTCTTAGCAAAATCTAATTTCCGATTTTCGGACCTGCTCATTCCGATTTTGCCCGATTTAAATCCGATCTTTCTAAGAATTATATTTGAGAGCATAGACGAACAACTTCATGGAAACTTCTTCCTGTTTTTATTGGGGATACATTTGTATATATTATGTAAAATAAAAAGAAATCTATTCTAGTAGGTTATTTCACTACGGCAATTCTACTTATTTTAGTGTTTACTCACAAACAACTTTAATCTACTCACCTTGCTTTTCCCTTCAGACATCTCTATGCGTCTGACCTGCTGACATTATTTGTCAACAGTATGTTTTATAAAATCGCCCAAAAACCACAACTCGCATTTTGGATTTTTTTCACTCACGTTATAGTTTTCATAGCAGCAGGTGCGCTGCGTGTGAGGGAGGCTTGTTGGTTAATGTCATTCCCTGTCAAAAAGATCGAGACCAACTTGGTACTGAATGACATTGGCACCAACAGGTGTGTTCACTGTTGCTTTACCTGTTCAGTGCTTGTAAATTATCAGTTGTGTCCACATCTTTTAACATAATACCAGATAACGCATCACTCTGTCTCTCAGTTTCTCTGCAAAATGCTAAAATAGGTCGCCAAATATAGCCTACTGTGGTGACCATTAATATACCTTGTGAGCTTTGTGTCTTCTTTGCACAAATTTGACCGGCAGAGAATTGGATATGTGAGACTGAACGGTCTGGTCAGGGCTGAAAACCGTCTGATTTCGGTCACCGGCCACTCGATTAGTGCATCTCTAATTAAGAAAATCACACCATGCAATCGATATCTGCTCTGAAGTCTTAATCTCTTTATGAGAGATTTTGTTAGATGTTGGCTCTGATTATCTTTGACTCCTTATTAGTAGTGAATACAAATGATGTTCGAAGCATCGATTTTGTATTCAAGCAAATATGATTAAACTAACTTTTACATGACGACTTTTGATGAATACTCTGACTAGTAGATTTCTGTGTCACACACGTGTCTCATCTGTCTTGCAGGAGTTTGAAATGCTGATGGAAGTCAGCTACGGTAACGGGCTGGATTCTGACCTTTCCCAGCAGTATCCTCCACCCTTACTGCCAAAACCAGGCAAAGACAACGCGAGGCTTCAGAAACTCAAGAAGAAGAGAGCCAAGAAAAAAGGCAGCCTCTCTCAGACGCCCGTCCCCTTTCGCTCCTGTTTGTCGCCTGTCAACGAAGCGAGCACAGACCTTGAGCACAGCGACCAGTCCAGCCCAGCAAGGACACCTGATTCAGCCTACAATGCAGAGTCCTCAGTGTCCAATTTCCCGCTTGGCTCCCTCTACGATCAGTCTGCATCTGCATACCCTCATCCTCGGAGCAGCCCCTATGGCCAAACTGGCAGCCTACCCCCTCAATCCTACATATCTCAGATCAGGACGTCTGAAGAACAGGTGGCTCCGCTATATGAGTGTTCCTCTTTTTTATTCGATGACGTGACCCCTTTCATGATGCCACATTTGGCTTCACCACCCCCCTCACCACCTGAGCAGGTTCCAGCACCACCTCTTTCTTCTCCTTTGAGCTTAAACACAACACCGAATTCCCATGGGTCAGTCACAACAGTCCCTCCAGTCGCTGAGTCGCAGTCCAGCACTAAAATATCAACTCACAGCCTGATCCTATCCCCAGCCGCCCCCAACTGTAACACAGGCCCGGCACCTTCTCAAGTTTCAAATGTACCTCCTGTTCCACTGCTGCTCTCAGTTTCAAACACTCAGACACAACCTTTTACACTCAGCCACTGGGAGACAAACGGCAGTTCAAAGGACAACCCTCAGAGCCAGACATCATCTTGGACTGCCAGACCTACCAGTAATGGCAACTTTTTTCCAAGCCAGATGTCCCCTGAGATAACTGCCTCAAAAATATCACTTGTTCAAGCAGTGAAAGAGACAAGGCCTGATGCTGCACAAACCAGGATTTACACATCAAAGGCAAAATTTTATGAGATTGCTAAACCTCCCTCCATCCAGGACCTCACAGTAATAAACCCCACCTACCAGGAAGCATCATTGTCTGCTGAATACGAAGAGAAAACAGCTGTGTCAGTGGTGAAAACTGATCCGAAATCGTCCTGGCCCCACTGTGGAAGACCTAAGACTCCCTCTTGTACACCTGCTCGAGTGTCCACGCCCTTTATTGAAATATCGAAACCTAACCCGCTTTTATTTGCAGCAAGTCCTGCTTTCAACTGCTTCCAAGATTTACAAGCTCCTGCAATTCCCAATGAGGCTTTAAGACACAAATCACTGATTCAAGCTAATGGTATAAGTAAACCTCCAGCTGCCACTGATGAATTGAAGCAGACTGATGTTAATCACATTCCTTCAGTCAAACAAGCCAGCAATTACAAAAAGATAGAGATTCAAAATACACAAAGGAGTAAAATAAATACTGAGCTGTACCCCGGAGAGAATTTAGCATCAAGTATGACAGCACCTGATTCTCCTGTGGTCAAACCAACACTAATAGAAAGTGAAGCTTCATCTTTGCCAAAGGTTCCATCATTTTTCTCCACTGTACCAAAGACCTCAAGTCTCAACCCCACACCAGTGATTTCAATGCAAGCACCACCAAGTCCAAGCCCCCTGTTGTCTACTTATCATCCCCCTGTGGTTGAGGCACGCAAGTCTTTGACGTCACTATTGGAGACTCAAATGTCATTGGGGACTTCAAAGCCCAAATCACGTTCAATGTATTACGGGCTTACTCCGGCTGAGTATGTTGCCTATGGTGGGATTAGGACTATCGCATCGCATCATAGCCCTGTACCCCCCAGCGTCATTGAAACCTCTTCAAATAATACACAGTCAGATGTAGCTGTAGATGGATCACATGTCTCAAAGTCTGATGCAACCAAACAACTCAATGGACATCAAGATCTTCCCTCTTTGGTGGAAGTTTCTACTGCTCACATTTTACAACCTCTGTCAACTCCAATGGATTCTGAGCTTCCAGCTAAACAGAACATCACACATAGAAAAGATGTTCTTGAAGAAAGTCAGTCTGAAGCTCACAGTGTTGGGATACAATCACTTAAAACATCTAGCGTGGACACAATAAAACCTGATCTTTCCCTTGGCTTGGCACAGAAAACAATGCAACAATCCACAAGTGACGTATCCACACCAAAAGCCTCATACTCTGAGGCTCCAATACCAATACCTAAAGCAGGTGAGGTACACACACAAAGTGCGGCACTATTTTCTGTAGAGGCAGCGTTAAAGACTCCATGCCTGAGTGTGAGCAGTGATCTATCAAGTTCTTCCTCACCTTTAGTGAAAGTAGATTCAAATGCAGAAACACAGCATAGCACAAAAGGGATAGATGTCATAGAGAAAGGTGACAATCTTAAGAAAACTCCTACAAAAGGACAATCCAAGGTCACAAAACAAACAGAGATAGCTCTGGCTCAGTCTTACCAAACTGCTAGTGTAGTCAGTCCGTCAACAGCCAATACTCTTAATGTCCAACTCACTGCCAAGCCTGTTAAAGACCTAGCTGACTGTAAAAATCTGGTTGTTCAATCTTGTGCCACAGAGTTAGAGCACAAATTCTCAGAGAATGCCATCATAAATGGTGAGTTCATCCTAGGAAAACAACCAGCCACCAAACTGGTTTCAGAAACACCACTGCCCAGTAAAGTGGCCACAGCAGCAGTTTTACACAAACAAAGGGAAGAGGTTAAACAGCATATCAAAGCGAACAGCGGGTTCACTCTACCCAATAAAACAAACACGGGGAACATTTTGCCTTCTGCAGCTGCTCATACAGAACTTATTCTTGACAAAATACATACTGAGCCTCAATTCTCTAAAGACTCTATCATCACTACCACAGGATCCATTTTGCCACATGAGCCTGTCACAGCATCTGTATGTTTTGCACAGTCCAATATCTGCACAGTATCTGCAGCCATCCAAAGCAAAAAAATAGTACAACAGCTCAGCACAGAAACTAAAATTCTCAGAAATAGTAAAACGATAGACAACAACATCCATTTGCCAGGAGAAGGTATCTCTGCAAAATCTTCTCAAGCACCATGTGTACCAAATACGCCTGCTATTAATATTAACTTAGTGGGCAAATCTACCACAGAAACCAAACTACCTGACCTATCTGCCACTGCAGCTACATCACCCAACCTTTCAAATGTTAAATTCCCTTTAAATATGACCTCCAGTGCACCCACAGTACTAACCAAAACTAGTGAGAATGTACTTCTAAACATGCAGAGTAGCATAGGATCCAGAGGCCAAGTTGTTCAAGGAGCAAATTCAAGCAGAGCTACAGTAGAGGCCACACGCGCACCTCAAACCAGTTTTAACATCCCTGCTAACGATTCAATACTATCGAGCCAAGTTAATACAGAAGCCAAACTCCTCGCTTATAATAATGTTGACACTAACAGAAACAGCAACTCAACAGAATTGCATCCACAACCCACCAATGAAAGAGTAGGCCTATTGACTGGGAAAACACCAACAGAGCATCTTCCCACTATACATATTGGTGGAGAAAACATTCAAACAAAATCTGTTGCTGAAACAAGACCTAACCTTTCAAAAGAAAACACAGTGCTGAACATGTCTAGAAGTGAAACCAAACTGTATAACAAACTGTCTGCAGGATTATCAACTGTCAGTAAATCTTCCACAGGTATGGTCTCACCTAGACAACCAGGAGGTATAGAGGCTACTCAACACATCAGATCTGTTGCAGACCCACCAGTGAGCATTGAACATTATTTTGATAATGTACAGGTTAGAAAAACGTCTGTGCCATCTAGCCCTACCATGAGGCATGTGACAGCAAAAAGCCCTCAGCTGAGATCAGACAGACCTGATAGTCTATCTGCAACAAAGCCAGTCATCGATGCAAAACCTGCTTCTGGCTCTGTTGCTCAAACAAGAATCTACACAAACTCAAAAGCAGATGGGAAACAGATCGTCAACCTTCTTGCTGAGCACAGATCATCTGAGCCATCAGCACCACAAATTACCGCTAAAACCACTGTAAAAGACCAGACAATTATAGTCAACAAATCATTAGCAAGTCCCACTACAAAAACCAAAAAATCTGTAACATCTAATACTGAGACAATGTCCTGTTTTTCAGGTAATGTCATGGCTAATGTATCTAGTATCAGTTTAGAACAGCAAACCATTGCAAGGTCAAGTCAAATCACATCGTCTGGAGATAATGTTCAAACCTCTGTGAATTCACTGAGCTCTCAGAATGGACGTAAACAATTTAGGCAATCTGTCACTGAAACAAAGAAATCTATAGAAACTAATATTCACACTGTAAATCCTCAAACCCTTTCACACACTGATTTAAATAACCATGCAGCAACAGATATTTACCCCCTTGATAAAGCCACCAGAGATGCTAAAGCCCCACTTAGCCCTCATACAGTAACTAAACCTTGGACAGCAACAAGAGCCTCCCCTCTACCCGAGGCAAGAATGTGTAATACCCCTATTCAAACCTATACTCCAACCCTACCCCAGTCCTCTCAAACTCCTGTCTTTTTAAACCATATGACAGAAACAAAACCCTGGTCATTTATTATGAAAGACCAGACAAACTCTCCCCTTATACCTCTTCAGAATAATACACCTTCAAACAATGTTCAGCCCTCTGCTAACTCAATCAAAGAGAATATCTCAAAACCAGGAATCAAACCACCCACAACTAAGGATTATTCAGTCCTAACTAACAATACTGAGGTAAAAGTACATTCCCAAACACACAAGATAAAAACAAATCTAGCAACTAATTCCAGTAGGGAAGGAAAACTCGCCTCACTTAACACTGAAACTAGCTCTCCCATCTATTTTATCGATGCTGTTTTAACCAGTAAACCTATTGTAAAAGCACAACCTCCCATGAAGCAGGTAGAATCACCACCATCCTCAGCCGCTGTAGAAACTAAACTCTCAGATGTAAAAAACGATTTCTCAAAGTCTCCCCCTAATCCGGTCCAGAATTGCTTGCACCTTGGTAATGTTCAGTCATCGACAGAGCCACAAGTAGAGAACATTTTCCCTGCAAAGCCAGAAACAGACACTGTCATGAAACCACCCATAAATAAAGCCGCTGTGATTGACTCTGCCACTCCTGCCTCTCTGCCTCAGGCCTCAGTCTCAATCAAAGCTCCATCCCCAAACAGAGGAACATCACCGCCATCTCAGCAAAAAACTGGACTCAAAGACAAGGACCTTCTGAGGACCAAAACTACAGCTGCACCGACGGAAGCTCCGGCAGTCAAACCCTCCACGAAGTCAGCGACATCAACTGCATCTTCAACTACTGAAAAGAAGATTATGCAGACAGAGACATCCCCTTCATCAAATGAGCCCAAAACAGCCCAGAAACTGAAAGGTCTTAAGGGTAAGCTCAGTGGATGGACACGGCTCAAGAAACACATGGTCATTGAGCCGGAGGAACCTGAATTTCCACAACCAGAGATCAAATCTAAGGTCGATTCTAGTGGCAGCAACGAGACAACAGATCATGGTGGTAGTGATAAGTTGTCAGAAGACCAGTGTGGTAATCAAGAGGCAGTTATGAACAAAGAAGGTCCCAAGGCATTGAAGATGTGGGATGCGCTCCTCTTTCAGATGTTTTCTACCAAAGACCGAATCATGCACCAGATCAACGCCACCAAGAAAGATTCAGACAAGAAAAACGCCTCTAAAGACAGTCAAGCAGAAGTTCCCTCTTTTGTCAATCGGCTGCCGATTTTGCTTTACAGCCCCCGCTTTGATGCCAGGAAGCTCAAAGAGGCGGCAGAGAAGCCGCTCACAAAAATAGCAGCAGTGTTTGAAAGGGGGCTCATTAAACGCAAAGGTCAGGAAGACGAACATAAGGACTTCAACAGAAAAGCTAGAGGATTTGGTTCGACGAAAACTACAGATATGAACTGATGCAATAGTATGTTTGGGGCTGATGAATGATAAGTGATGTGTTCGGTTTCTCTGTTGTGTAATTCATCACGAAACACAATGATGCAGTGATCTCAGGTAGGTGAGGGAGAATCGGAGAAAACGAAGCATACAAAGAGAATCTGGAAGAAAATAGTTTATTTATGGATTTCTGCAGTAAAATAGCTGAAGTTAATTTTATAACTCGTTGCTGCTGTGAGGAGGAAAATTATCCTCGAGGGGAGAAAAAATATATATAAGTGTCATTGATTGCCGCTTTATCAACATCTATTTTACCTGAACAAAAACTTTTGTCATGGTCTTTAAATTTAAACTGCTAAGAAAGCAAAGAATGGTCAAAAATAATAATACAGCGATTATACAGGTGTGACATCTTTGTACTTTTAACAAAATCAAATAAGGATTTGACAAAAAAAAGACAAGGCAAATTAAAAAGCATTATATACTCCGCAACTCTACTTGGTTAGATTTGTTCTTTTTTCATTTAATGATAGATGTAGCGTTGAATGCATGTGCTGTAGATACTTTGATAGATAAAAGATTGTTTCAATTGCCATGCTCTACCTTTTTCTATTTTTCTAAACAAAGTAAGGCCTTTAGTGCGCAGCGCTGGTAGGCAGTTTTTAATCTGTGATAAATAGGGCTTTTACATTCCTGGAACAACAGGGCAGATAGAAGGAAGAAGGAAAACAGAGATCGATGAAATGTGAAGGTGCAGTCAGAACAGATTTAGGTGTCTGTAAGTCACGTATGGATGGAAACGAAGCGGCAGATGTCTGGGCTTTCGATCGGGGCAGGAAACTACAACCACACAGGCTGGTACATCTTGGGCTGGGTTACATGGGCTACGTGGCAATGTCGTGTCTTTTGGTCGGTTGCTCCACTTTGGTCTTGACTGACATGTTTTAACATGTATTAGATGGTAAACTTTATACCAGTCAAACACTAACATGCTAGCATTGTCACAGTGAGACTGTTAACATCAGGTGAAAACTGACTATAATTGATTTTTTTGGTAGTATTTGAGACCATCACTTTATACATTGCCAAGTCCTAATACATCCCAAAATAAAATTCTTGTTTCTTCATATCAGCAATATTGTGTAAAAACTCTTGACTTTTATTATTTTTTAAAGATGTTAAGTACTCCAACGCCCTTTGTCAGTTGGGGAAAGTCTATGAAGATAAACTTTAAAATGTTTGCATATATATGTATAAGGCTGTTTTCCTTAGTTGCAAGAAGTTGGAGAGCCATTGTTTTCATCCGACATTGATGATATGATAACAAAATTTCCAGCCACTATAAGACATAAACATAGTCACTGTTGATGGATAGTAATTTCCTGCTCTGTGGTGGATCTTCTAGGACTTGTGAACACTATTACTGAGTTTAGATTGTAACTAGGATGTAGAAGAGAAGACCAATGAATGATGATGATGTTGATGATGATGATGATAAGACCTGCTGTAGGAGGACTAAAGAAGAATATGTTAGATGATGAGTGTGATGTTTCACAGCTTCGGAGGATTTTGCTGCTGCCGTAGCAGATATAAGCATGTTGATGTATTTTGACCCTTTTTGTCTCTGTATTGGGTTTTGGAAATTGTTGTTTTCCCTAAGATGACCATCGTGACGTGGAATTTATTGTAGGTGAGGGGGACTTTACCCCTGTAAGCTAACCATAGCCCCATTTATTACACTGACGCTTAAACTATAAAATGTTTTTGTTTACTGCGTGATTCTCAAAAATGCATAAATTTGAATGTGAAACTCTTGTATTGCCTCATTTTTCATCACAATGCTTTGGTTTTTGGTAAAAGTTACTCAAACATTTTTTTTGGGGACTATTTTCACAGGCGGATTAATCCACATGTGGTGCTCTAGTCAGTATTCAGAAAAGCAGGACGGTGTATGTTGGGTTGAGACAAAATAAACTACAGTGTGAGTTCATGGTGATGAAGGAACATGTCATCCAGTGCAACAGTGTGGCTCACTGATATGTTTAATAATAATAATAATAATAATAATAATAATAATAATAATAAAAGTTAAACAACAGATACATTTTTTAATATGCATAACATTATTAAAGACCCAAAACATTCTTTGCATCTATACTTTTCATGAGAATGAAGGATAGCTGAAGGACTGTCTTACCTGACTGGTAGTTTGCATCTTCACTGCAGCCGTAGTCAACAGAAACCTTCTCATACTTGCCATGGCCTGTCACCACAAACTTATATCTTTTACCCGTGGAGCTGTCCTGAATAAAACAGTATTAACAGGATTTACATACATTTTCTATGTAACTTCATCCAATGGTTTATGAACAACATGTCAACAGCAATATAAATATTTATTATTGCTGCCTAAAAATCACAACCGATTATTTATTATGAGCTCTCATGGTGTCACTGAATGCAGCACAATTGTAATAACAATATGAAAGGAACTCTTCTCAAAACATCCAAGCTTTCAGCTTTCAGCTGAAGAAATATTAAAGGGATGGAAAAGGGAAAAAATTACTTCATCAGAGCTTAAGACTTTAAGGCTGACATGAGTTGTGAGCAGTTAAACCAAATTAATGATCCTTCATAAGTGTTTTTAAAGTCCTGAAAAGCTGATTGTATCCAGTATTTTACAATATAGCAGCAGATTATAGAGAAATAATGAAGTATAATTATAATCAATAATAATTGTGTGTGAAAATCTGAGGGATCACAAGGAAATTAAGGTATAAGAGAGAAAAACATATATCTGCTGCACAAAACTATGTTAATTTCTCTACTACTTTTTGTAAGTTTGCAAGTTTTTGCAAAATGTGGATGTTTTTACCTTTCGAGGGCTCCAAATGCTTTTCCAGATGACAAAATCTGAGACTGAAAACTCCCTCTTCAACTGTTTTTGGCCATAATCTGTGACAGCGGGTCATTAATAGACATTGGCTTATTGTAAAAGGTCGAGAGCCAAAAAGTTTGGGATGTACTGCCTTCGGATGATCTATGATCTCTGAATGACGCCACTGCAGCCACAAGGAGGCAGATTTTCACTGACTACTCTGTTAAACTGCTCCAAGTTGAGTAGATTATGAAGCAGAGAGGAACAGAGAATAAAACCTGATTGAAAAGAGTCATGAGATAAAGTAAAGATAAGGAAGTTATCGGACAGGTAGAGTTGAGGAGAAAACTGAGAAGAAGTAAAAGTTGAATGAATTTCATGTCGCAGAGCTAGAACTTGTTGGATCTTGTTGGATAAAAGATCAGCGGAGAGGTTGACAAACGTACAGCAAGATAGCAAAAGAAAGAGACATTTTTTCATACAATTCTGGTAATTCAGGGTAAAATCCTGACATACTCCTGGTTTGGAGGGAGAGCTACACCTGCTTCCATCTTCACTTCCTTTCACCCACTGATTGATGAGATCTGCAACACCGACTTTCAAACCATCTGCATCCTGAGACAGAAAAGAAGAAACATTCATCGTTACTTAAAAATAAATACCTGGTTTTGTGTTCTTCGGCAAATAAAGTCCACCTACATTTATTTCATGTACCCTAAATATTTGTTTTATTTCAATACCTGAACAAGGTAGCAGAACATGCAAATGTCAAACAGCAGTGAGTGTGATGAATTCATGTTTTGTTTAGTTTCCACGCTGCTGCTGCTACTTTTGTTGCTGTTGTGCTCAACAAAACATGCATTAATCTCTCAAAAAATAGTTATATGTTTTACACAATAGAACAATTGTGATCCAGTATTTGTCAATGTTAAGGCTTAGCCTTTTTTTCCAGTAGGTTTGGTCAGTAGTACCCACTGGGGTATAAGTAGCCCTGGTTGGGAATTACAGGATTAAGGCACGTTCAGACAACAGTCGCAGAGCAGCTGCTGTTTCAGTCACCATGAATACAGGTCTCTCACAGGTGCTGCTTACACAACACTACTGTGCAAACGTTCTATGTTCTATAGATATATATAATAAATAATGAAGACTTCACCTGTACATTTTCCTTCCAGGGTACAGTCACCATTAAACAACAGCAAAATCAAACCTCTGAACTCTTCCTCATAGGAATCGAGCAAAATGAGGAGTAGTTATTGATCAGCAATGGTGTAAAATGTTTGATTGTCTGACTGTTTAAGTTAACATAGTTAATCTGTTAACCTTAGATGGTGTGACTGAGATAGCGTTTTGGTTCCAGGCTTCTCCAGCCTCAAACAGGTTCTTCTTAGAGGAGACGGGTTCAGGGGGACTCGTCATGTCCGGCAGCACCTGGCTGCCTGATCTGCTTTCCTTTGAGGAGATCTGCAAAAAATAAAGTACGCTTAAGCCAACTTAAAACCACAGTCAAATTCCTTGTATGTGAACACATACTTGATCAATAAATGAATAAATGTGATTCTGATCAGTAACACAGTTAGTGCTTATTTACAAAGCTTCACAACACATTCCTGCACATTTTAGAGTAAAAACCAAAACACAAGTCTTCTCTGGTCATGGTTAAGTTACTGACCAGCTTGTTATCCATTATGGATTCTTATAATAACCAAAAATGGATGTAAGAGTTGTTCATATTATCTTAAAATGTAGTTTGTGGAAGTACCAAAATACATGCTACATTGCTTCTGTCAAGTAAACGAAAAACCCACTGAAAAAGAGAGGAACTCAGTGGGGTTTTACCTCAAGAGCATGTGCGTACTGCTCAAGTTTCTTGTCAATCTTGGAAACAGCTGCAGGTGGCAGCGTCTTCTTTATGTTGCTGGTGCTTTACAACAATGGATAAATGTTCAGGTCAGTCATGATGAAAATACATTTCTGTTACAAATCAAAGTACAGAGCACCGTTGTGCTAAAAAAGTGTTAAATGTTTTGCTGCACATGAGCACCAGAGGAAAAGTTTGCAAATATAAAAAATAAATATCCTTTCGGTGGATATTCATGGAGGAACAAAGGTTTTCTGCAGTTGTGATGTGTTGTAGCAGTCAGCGAGGCAAAGTGTTTTGTTGCATTATAAAAAAGCAACAATAAGTCTTCTAAAATCTATCTCATAGAACACAAACTCACCTTTTCCTCAGAGACTCGGTTCTCTCTATGATCTGAGGAAAGAATTAAGACAATCAGTGGTTACGATCCTTATAACACTCGCTTGGGAAATTACCGTATTTACAGTAACACAAATGTTTCATTGAAGCTGTTTGGTTTTTTAAGGGTAGTTTGAAATAAACCCTTAAATCTGGAACATGGACTAAATTAAAATGAGTTTTAAATGAGCCTGTTTATTTTAATAAATGCATGTATAATGATAAACTTTATGCATGCAGCACTTTTAACAAAGTTAGAAATACAATCAGACAGTTTAATGTAATACAAAACCAAACTGAATAAAACACCCAACAATAATATATGATAAAACAAATGAAACAGATAAGACAAGTTGGGAAACAATACTGTGCTGTTTTGAGAAGTGACTTTAAAGATGCACAAAACAGAGACAATAACAAAAGCAGAGTAGAAGAAATTGACCTGCTACATTTCTAATCTTATGGCAGCTGCTGACCTTTGTCACTGACACTCGTCTACAGCAGCACTCACCATGCATTTAGTGTCTGTTGAGACTCTGCTGTTCACTTCATCCTGTAAAGAGACACAGTGTGCTGAAATACAGATTACTACAGCCTCCAGCAACTGAATGAGTTTCAGTACAACTTTGACATGCATCACGTTTCTCCCGTTTCAAATAACAAATGTAAAATCAGGGCAGCAGAGTGCGACACAAATGCACACCTCACACCTCAGTGCAAACATTCAGCTGACACATGCACAGGACTTACTGGGTAAAACTGAATGAGGAGTTTCTGGTGGAACCACAGGGAGCATGAAAGAGACAACACTTTTTAGCATGGTTAACATGACACAACACTACATCATTTTACCATAAGTGATTCATCAATGATTCAGTTGTATCCAGTCCCTCCTCCCCTCAAGAGGCTAATCCCCGCTTGCCAGGCCGTCCTTGTAAATAAGAAGTTGTTCTTAAGTATCCCGCCTGGTTAAATAAAGGTTTAATAATAAAATAAGTAAATAACACATTCATTTAGAGAGATTAGTGACACCATCTCTTTGATGACTGGCATCCTTTGAAGCTGACCCAGATCACATAAAATGGTAAGAAGCTGCTGTTCTTCCAGAGCCAAGGGGCAACATCCTCATTGCAACCGGAAACAAGGGAGTTCATGGGAAAAGTAGTTTTAGAAGAAAACTCCCTAACTTCACTGACATTCAAGTGTGCACTGTAACTAAGTTATCAACAAAAATGCAGATCAGATCTGGACATCTGTCACTACATCAGTAAATTTTTCTGTGCATTTCAGCTACTGTATATGGAGAGACTAAGTGCATTACCAAAAGACACTCTGTCCAACTTTGCTGTTAATGTTGCTACAAATGGGCATCTCTAAAATGACGTCCTTGTTGTTTGAAACCACAACCCTGATGTTTTTTACGATAAAAATTCCTTAAATTTGTGAGACAGAGACTGCAAGTTATCTCCACCACGGTCATCTTTACTTATTGATGCTGGTGTTCAAAAATGAGACATATAGCATGTTCCAGTGGTATCTGAGTCTGGAAAACATTTCTGTACAGGTCAACTTTGGTTTGATGAGATACCTTGAATGTCGGGCTCATGGGACCGTAACTGTTTAACGGCTCCTCGCCTTCGATGCTGCTGCAAAGAGAGACTGTAGATCTTCTGTTCCCCTCCTCACTCCTGCC